GGGTGTACTCAGTTAATTTTAGGGTTCGTTTAGCAGCACTCAAAAAATTAGTGGAGTATTCGAAGGGAAGGAAAATGGAAACATTTTATTTTAGATTTAATTTTAATATTGGAGTCAAGTAGATTAAGCTTAATGAACAATGAACGGATGTGCTCTAATTAGCCCGGGATGTTGTGGCTAAAAGGAGTAGGGTCCTCTAATTTGACAATTTTTAATAAAACATGATTAACACCTGTTAGTATCCACTTTAGTTTTAGGTTGCAAAACCTTAATGATGAAGAATGATTTACATAATTTAGGGAACGTTTGAGAGTGTTTTTGGAGCTGCTAAAAGCTGTTTTAAATTAGAACAAGCACTAATGTCTTTTAAAACTGAGATGTTTTTAAATAATCTAGGAGTGCTTTGGTGAGATTCAAAAGCACTTGAGGTGGTTTTTCAAGAATCACATAATAGAAATGTTGCATGGAAGAAACATGGGAAACACTTGGATTCCATTAATAATACTTTTCAAATGCCAAAAATGCCCGTATTTTTTTGAAAAATCCCAAAATAGCCTTGCTTTTTTCTGCAGCAGAGCTGAGGAGCAAACCAATGTAACCTGGCTTTGCTCTGGCGACCTTTTCATGAAAATCCGAAAACGCCCCACTGCTTGGATAAACTGGACACACACCAACATAAAGAACGAAACAAAACCCTCTCAAGGAGAGACCTAGAAAAAAAAAACTTAAAACCTAAGCAAAGACTAAAGCCCATTCCCATTTGGCAATCTTATGGAGAATTGTTGCACTTATTACAAGTTACAACTATTAAAAAAAAAAAAAAAAAGCAAAACATAATGCCTTATCACCTTTCTTAGGTCAACAACATCATGGCAAAACCTTTCTTTGGTCACAAGCTTCCTTTTCCTCTTCTCCTTCTTATTTTTTTTGGCTCTCATTGCTTTAGGTTGTGAACCTTTGTACCATTCAGCAATTACCACAGTTGAGCTTTTCGGAACAATATTTATAACCTAATTAACCTAGGCTAGTTTTCCATATGTAAGAAACTAAAACAATATAAATAAAACAATCAAACTACTCCTATGAACTCAATGGGGTAACTGCCTGTCTTTGTCCAATCTGAGGAGGAGTTGGCACCAAAAGCTTCACCGAATCGACCCATAAAAAGACATATGCTGGCAGCTTTACCGGAAAAGTAAAGTTTTTGTAACTTTCAGTTGAGTTGTTTATATGCATATGATTTATTCCTGACTCCTTTTTGTGATTTGCTACCTATTTGGTTACTTAGGCACCTTGGAAATGTTGTAATTTACTATCTAATAATTGTTACATATGATGGGTGTGGGGCGGATTGGATTGGATCCGTAATTTTCAAAACCGACATGATTGGATCAGATGACGGATTTGCTTTTGAGAATCCAATCAAATCCAATCCAATCTAGTTAGTTTTATGCTTATTTTGCTCTTGTAGGAATTTATCGTTGAAAATGTTATGAATATTTTAAGTCATTTAATGGAGTTATGTTTAATATATTATATAATCAAAACAATTTTCTCTAATATTTCATTTATATTTTATATTTATGTCTATTAATATGTTTGATTATATTAAACATAAGGATAAAATGTTTAATATTTCATTATTGTATTTTTCTATTACAAAAACCGATCATCCAATCCAATCCAATTCAATCTAATATCAATTAGATCAGATCAGATTGGATTTAAACATCTAATATGATTGGATCATAGTGAAAAAATCATAATCCAATCTATATTGGGTCGAATACAAATTGACTAAATTGTATTGGTTTCGAACCAATGTACACCCCTACCAGAAGAGCATACCTACAATAAGGGTTTGGAGGCTGGTTTTAGAGCTCAAATCCAATTCTCAACTCAAATATATATATATATATATATATATATATATAGCTTTGATTGGATCAAACATAATCAGCTGGTCAACAGACTCAACACCATGGAAGGAGTTGAGAAGCCTCCTCCGTTTCTTCTTCTTCTCCTTCATATTTTCATGATAAGTACATCCAAATTTCTTCGATGCTAGTAATAATATCCCTACTCATCTCATCTATATTCTTTTCGGATTATTTGTAACACGTGTCTCTAACGTGCATCACATCCTATAATCCCATATGCTTAGTCAGCGTTTGATATTGTTACTAGCAATCTACACATGAGCTATGCATGTGGAGGCAGTTATTGCTGGATAAATAATACAGAGGAAAAACAAAGTAGTGAGATGTGAATTATTGTTACACCCATAATATATTAGGGTTTTTTCATTTAATATGACAGGACCCGTCCCGAATTTCCCAGAACCCGAGACGAACCCTGCGGAGACCCCGGCATCACACCCAAGCCGGGTTCACTCCTTAAATCTATGTCCTCGTTTACCAGAGAGGACTAAGGGCACGAGACTTTCTGCCGAAAATTCGGCAGAGTCTCCCCTATAAATTGAACATTTCCCCAAAATTTCCACATGCATAAAACGCATTTTATAACCCAACCGGTAGCATGCACAATAAAATCTCATGCAATTTACATAAATGGCCTCCGGCCTTCAAATGCTTCTAGCAGAACTGCCCACAATGCTTTTAAAATAACTTAATGCATTAAACATGCATATAACAATTTTAAAATCTACTCACGCGCACCTTCACTCACTTAGTCCCCAGGACAAGCCTCAATTCAACCAAGTTTTGGGACCAACAACGAGGTCCAAACCAATCCCAATAAGACCACCTAAGTGGGGTCTAATATGTGGCTGCACCTAGTAACTTCAGGCTGCCTACGTACCCTACTAAGGGATCAAGCCACACGTAGCTCTTTCGTATCTATCCTGGCTCCTAATATCAAATAAACCATTACCACCACACAAATACATACATTCTAATATTTATCCAACACAACACACCAAACACAATCACAATGT